TTATCAGCACAAGTTGGGTTCACCAGTAAATGCTGGCCAATCGCTGTTTCACATTTTGGTGGTAGAACATTTGTTTTACAGGAGCGACACGGTAAATTATTTTCTTTCACACTCTTATTTCTAATGGATGTGGATACATGTTTAATTCTATCCTGCAGTCTTTGTGAAGTGCAACCAAAGTACCAACATTCACAGTGGCACGAGAATTCATAAATAACCATACTTTTCTGTGTGGAATGTATCGCATCTTTGTGAAGAGCGACCAACGTATTGACATTCACAGTGGCACGAGAATTCATAAATAACCATACTTTTCTGTGTGGAAGGTATCGCATCTTTGTGTGTTGCAGGCAACAGCTTACATAGTTTGTGTGTAATTGGTTGGAAACTACAGCAGTCTATATTTGATATTATAAAATTATAAAATGTTGAAAACTTTTTTAATATTTCTTTTTGAAATTAAGAAGTTAAAACTTAGATAATATATATAAAATTGAATTAAAATTTAAATTTTTATACAAAATTTATTGACATACATTGATAATTAATTTGTTTGGTTAAGTTTTGAGTATAACAATAAATGTGACATGCATAAAAGAGTTAGGCCTGGATGCAAAAGGTTAATCATTAAAAGGTAAAGTTTGCTCTTGAATGTGAACAACAGCCCGTTTTGCCATTCTTAGATATTCTTGTTCATAATAGTTATAGTAGTAAGTGTTACCATATTTACAACAACAATCACAGTAGTTTAAAAAGAAGTTAGCTGTAATTATCAGCAGAGTTTATCCACAGGTTCATATTAAATGTATTTTTAAGCCTATAAAATAAAGTTTTCTTATCTTCAATACATAATGGCTAAAAATATAAGTTATTTGTTATCTATAAATTTGTAAGCTATCGCTCTTTTATATGTATGCTCTACTACATGGTGGCTCTCAACCTATTTAAGAGAGCATATTCCTGTGTTAGAAAATTCTAAAATATTGAGAATTTTTTTATATTTATTTTTGAAATTAAGAAGTTAAAACTTAGATAATATATATAAAGTTGAATAAAAATTTACATTTTCATTTGAGAGAGTTTGACAACTGTATCAGAAACTTGAGCTCACTCATCATAATTCAGCAATACCTCCTCTTAAAAGTTTTACAATTTTACTCTATAACTACTATAATGCCATTACATTATTAACCTCATAACTTAATATTTATTTAAAGTTGAAATTCTTAATAGAATTAAACCTTGGTAAGCAGTTGTAAAATATGATCAATTAATTTTTTACCTATCATGATACCTGTGACCTGCAATAAAATAAAGTAAATAAATCACCACATACAGTGAAACCCCGAATTTACGTGCCCCGATTTAATGCAAATTCAGATATAACGCAATGGGTCATTAACTCTTTCGACACGGGATCAGTCCCTGGGACCGATCTCATTATACTTTACATACCAATAACTTTTAATATTTTAAGTGTATCTTTACAAAACCCTGATTTAGCACTACTCCGCTTGTTTCACGATGACATTTTATGGACCTCAACGATCGCGTTATAATGGGGCTACACTGTACTTTTGACACAAATTCTTTGTGTTGTAAAATGTGGCAAACAAAAATTTGTTTTGGTGGTATCTGTACAAGTTAAATAACAAAAGGTCATCGTGGAAATAAACTGATAAGTGATATTTTTCTAAAATGAAAAAAAAGTATGTGCCTTTGATATATTAAAGCAAAACTGATGCAATCATGAAGAGATACTAAACAAAAAGAAAAAACAGTTGATGGATAGCTTAATAAACATAGTAATGTCCAGGGCTCCAAAGAATATGGTTGCCAGCAGTAACAGAATAAAAAAAAATTATAGCAATTAGAAATACTATATTCAAATGCAAATGAGCCATAGCAAATATTCTTAATTAAAATAGGGAAAAAATTTAATCTCTCAAATGTCTAACAATTGTATGCCAGGTTCACATGTAGTCTAAGTTGCTGACTCATCACCAACTATGCATCTATACAACTAGCTGGGTAACAAGTAGCTATCTGCCAGTTGATAACAACAGTCCACTGCTTTGCACAAACCTAAGGCAACTTTAGTAGAATTGAGGTGCCATACACAAACTAATGATGTTGCAATTTGCATCATTTATTACTGAAGCTACTTTCCATTGTATAGGTTTTTGCTTGCAGCTTCATCTTGTTATGAAACAAATACTTAAATTTAAAATAAAATGTAAAAAATCAAGTATGTTATATACTAACAAAAGTTTATTTCTAACTTATCAATTAACTCATTTTATTGTAATTCTACTTGATGTAACAACCAAACAAAATTGATTTATCAGGATATTTTGTGAAATATATGAATAGCTAAAACACAATGTGCAACAAACAACTTTTAAATCATGATTTATTACCAGTGATGTGAAATGATAAGATTTGTATGGGTAAAAGTTATGCAGATCCCAACAAGCCTTGCCTAATGAATAGCATATTTTGCTGATTGGTAAGAATCCTTTCAACAGACAAGTTTGTCTCAATTTCATCTAGCTATCAGAAAATTTAGCTGGCTAATGACTAGTTAAAAATCTTGGGTAATATTAATGTGTACAAATTAGGTTTGGCAGCATTACAGCTGAAGATGTTAATGAAGCTGGTTACCAATGTCATAATGATAAACCAACAACTAGACAACAAGGGACCATTTACTCTTTCAAGTCTGCTCCTGCACACCTATCTCCAAGAATAAGTAAAAATTAAAACTCATCCTTTATTTTTCAGAACATCCTCAATTCCCATCTTAAACCTTGCAAGGTGTTGTCTTCTGCTACTACCGGTGGCAACTCATTCCATAAGTTAATAACCCTCTTTCGAAAATAAAACTTTTAAATGGAGCCTAACATGTCTCGTACAAATCTAAACTTTTGTCCTTTCATTCTAATGTCTTTATAATTCAGTAACAAGAAATCAAGGCCTTTACCTTTTAAAATGTTATCAATAAGATTGCCTCTTTCTTTTCTGTAGAGAAAATACGAGATCTTAACATTCACACAAGATAATACATCAGCTTTTTATATATGGATACCAAAACTATATATATATATATATATATAAATGAGGCCCAACCATTGATTTATATACAGAAATAACTGCATTTTACTTTGAATAACATGATCAAGTTTGAAGTCCATTAAAGAAGCTCATTGTAAATAGAAATTACTGTAAACTAAACAAAAGTTAAGTAATAAAAACAGAAACATACAGACTACAAGCGAGTCAATAAACCTGAAAGTATTTAATAAAAAAATGCCTCTTGATTTGCAGGTGATCTAATCTTATAAGCTATAGAGTCAAATAAATTTTAAAGTTGAAATCTGATTGCAGTATTTTAAATGCAATTATTAAAGTTGAAAATAGTTATAGGTTATAGAATTCTAGGAATTTATGAGTGAAAGCAAAGAAGAATATGTTATAATAAGTCAAACACACTACATCTGCTATATCCAGTCCCAACAAGGCCCTTTACCCATGATTACTTATCGTCATGTTTATATGTTTGTATTGGTCAGATTTGATGTTGCCTTTATTAGCTATATTTCATTATAATATAGCTAAACCACTGCAACACAGGAAACCAATTCTTTCTTATACTTTTCTTTAATATAATTAACTTATTAGTTTCATCATTTAATGAACTGTTTAATGTATAAATTGTATTTGTTAAGTGCTATATCAATACATCACTGGTCAGATAAGGCAATCTATAAGTTTTGGTTCTTAAGTTGTAACCAAACTCTTAGATATATGCCAAACCAACATCTTAAGTTCCCTCACTTGCAGAAATTATTTTTATAAGATTTCATATACTTAGCAAATTTAAATGTTTTTGGTGTTTTTCACTGATGCCAAATTTAATAATTATTTTTAAATATATTAGTAACTCTTTAAATCAATTAACAGTAGTACTGATCATCTGCAGCAGAATAAAAAAAAACATTAAATAAGACAGGTCAAAATGGTCTAACTAGTATTACTGTTAGTAGTACCAATACCTTATCATAACTGCGAGCTCATAGTCTTATTTTGTGAATAATATATTAAAAGTTTTAAAAAATCATATCATAAGTTTTGTTGTTATCACGAAATGCGGAAAGAGTTTAAATGTGTTGTTGAACTAGTAATTCCTGCCACAGACTTGACATGCTCAGTTTACCACTTCGATTTAGGGTTATTTACGTTTAACCTAACGATCAGTAGTGTTGTAGGCTACCGACCTGACTAAAATTAAAAACATGTCACTTGCAATAACATACATAATTTACTTAAAGTAAATATTTCGAAGAGAAATTATTAAAATATGTACAAACCATTTTTCTGGGGGAGCTTGTTTTCGATTTGTTGAATGTTTCTTGGAGATTAGTCAACAAATCGTCACATTGTGAAATTTAGATGTACCAAATTTTTTGTACACTTCTGACCTAACTAGAATACACTAAGTACACAACGGGTTTCAATTCTGCAACCTCGAGATCAGAATCCTTAATACTGGCATAGATAAAAAATCTCATATATATAAATTAACACTTTAATTAATTTTATTATGTGGCGGTGCTTAAAACAGAATGTTAATAGCTAAGAAAGCTACTATTTTTTAACAGTGGGCTTTAAAAATACATGCTGATTATTACTCGCTCCTGTAATCATATAATATAGTATTTGTACGATAGTTATAGCATGAACTTTTATACAAATACTTATAAAGATAATATTAGTGAATTTCCAGAAAAATAAATAAATTAAATTAAAATTTGTTATTGATAGAATAAAGTATTTTATTCTAATCAGTGAAATAAAACAAGAAATATTAATTTCAATACAATATTTTTCAAATAATTTCTCTAAATAAATTATATATATATATAGAGAGAGAGAGAGATTTGCAAAATATATGTTAGCGCCAACAAGCAATATTTTTCTAAGTAGGGTGACACCTGCCCGTACCCCGGTGGGACAGCGATAAGTCTACGGATTTACAACATTTAAAATCAGTGGTTTGATTCCCCTCCGTTGTCACAGCAGATAGCCCGATGGGGCTTTGCTGTAACACAAAAAAACACCAAAAAACATCTGCTCACTTACAGCAGACCATGACCATACGGACATTATATATTAAGTTTTGCATCTACACACAGATAAAGACCATTACACTAATTTTGTGACTTTTTAAACTAATATTTTGCATCCGAACTGATTTTGGGTTGCCGAAGCAGAGGGATTGAATACTTATGCAATTCAAAATATTCTAATTTTCTTTGAAAATCTAACTTATATATAACATCACCTTGATTTTTTAGCTTTCTCAGTTTGGAGTAGATTGTGTAGATTTTAAATATAGTCCTATTTCAAAGTTTCATGATTGCAAGCTCAGATGGCAACAAAATGTGGAAACTTTGCAAGGGTTGAATATTTTAGCAAGGCACTGTCGATAATTATTCACACCGTGTGGTCAAGCACAGCAGTAATATTGCAAACAAATCTAATATTAATGTTAGCATGCCACGAGTTAATCAATGACAAGCACAAAGTGCAAATGCAGTATATAGTTCTGTGGAGGATTACTTTAAGAAAACAGTAACCACTCCTTTTCTTGGCACATTATCAGTAATCTTTCTTCCGGATTTGATGCACATGTAAAGCAAGCAACTCAATTCAGAATCTTATTCCATCAAAACTCACATAAGAGTTTTCTATTCTTGATATCATCGGGCTATAGATTTGTACAATGAAGATTTGCCAAATCCTGATATTTTTGATGAAGAACTTTATTGATGGGGACAGGTGGTTTCTGTACCTCACCAGTACAGGCCCCAGATAGTGTCTGACTGCCTAAAAGCATCCTTCAGTGTTCCAAGTATTTTTATGCTGCCGAAACTCTTTGCCACATTACCACTGTTACGACAGCGGGGGTCACGTGACCCTAGTAACACGTCATATTCTCGAAAGTTCGTGAATGCTCGAGTGTTTACTAGATATGCGGTATTCATGTATATAAGACCGCCAAGAAGTGACGGCAACACTGAATCGGAATTGAATTGCAGACAGAGATAGAGACGGACAGTTGGGTCGAACGCTTGTGTTGTTCGTTGTGAATTATAGCGTTTGTTAAGTTATAGCGTGATAACTGTGGAAATTAAATGTATTGCAAAGTTGTATTGAGAAAGAATAAACTAGTTT